CAAGGGATGTAGGGGACTCTGGATCCCGTGAAGATTTTACATGGAGCTTGGACATTCAAGATACAGGGGCTCAGCTGTCAGATCTGGATTGGAGGCCAGAATCTGTGGGAGGAAGTCGGGGGGCTGGAAGACTCTGGGCTGAGTTAAGCAGTCACTCAGACTGGGTGATCACAGCTGTCTCTTCAGGCCTTGAAATCTAAGGGAATGTGTCTTTAATTGGGTTCCAGCAGGATCCTGTGGTCTGGAGAGCATCAGGCTACACTGACCCATTATTCTGTCTGGAGACAGCAAAATGAAAACCCTGCCCAATGGACCAGGTGCCTGCCAGCCAGTCTGCCAGGCCAAATGCTGCACTGGGAACACGGGCTGAGGAGAAAGCCCCCATCCCAGCCAGGAAGGGAGCCGTGAGCAGCCATGGCTAGAAGCCACCAGCAGGCTGGAGATCGGTTTGCATTGTTTACAGGCATCTCTTCACTCCCTTATCTGCACTTCCACCTGCCCGCCAAGAGGGACCTGCAGGCACTATGAAAAGCTGGTTGAGGGCTGTCTCCCGAGCTTCCCCAACCCCCATGCCAAGCTGTGCATCAGCTCGACAGACAGAATGGGCGGCCGGGCACCCTAGAGGGTCAGAGCCCATTTCCACTGCAGCTTGGCAGTTAGTGTGACAGCAAGTGGGGCACTGCCTGCACCCAAGGGCTAAGAGAGCAGAAGGAGAGACAGCACCCCACTCCCAAGTGGAGACAGATTCTGCTGATTAGCTAGAGGCTCTTAGCAAGGGTTCTGGGAGAGGACAGGCCCAGAAGAGGCAGGAAGGGGGATTTCAGAAGGGCCAGTGCAGACACTGGTCAGTGGCTCTACCAGGCAGTCTCAGAACAGGCAGAGCTTCTGGAGAATGGGAGCAGAGGGGGCAGCCCTCCAGGCTAGGCCAGGAGTGGCCGAAGTGTGTGAGAAAGGCAGCTCCCCTGAAACATTAGCAGCCCTGGGCTCAGAGCCAAGGAAACCAGCAGTAACTGAAATTGGTGGAGACAGGGCTGATTTCCTGCCACAGATGGAGTCTGCTGGAGACAGGAGCACATTGCAAGGGGGAGTCTGGAAGACAAGAGAGCCAGCCCTGGGGGAAGGGAGAGGATGCTACTGAATCCTGCAGAGCAGGAAGCAGCCACCCATGTTTAGCATCTAGGTGGCCAGGAAGCAGTAAGCTCTGGGGGAAAACTGATTCCCCACTCCCCCCACCCCCACACATCTGCACAGGCAGAGCAAGTTACAGCTGCCGAAGTGAGAAGTCGCCACAAACAGGAAACCCCCTGGAAGTGTGGGCAGGTCACCTGGGGATGTTGCTATGGCACCAGAACACAAGCCAACCACAGACCCAAAAGTTCAGGGCACTGCCACTCTAGGGTACCATGAGGGCTGCACACTCACATGGGCACAGCTGGAGCACAGGGCTCCATGAGGCACGCGCCTGGGTAGACACCCCAAGCAAAGGACTCTCTGGCTAAGCACTGCCAAGGAAGGGAGCCCGTCAGCAGCTAGGACAAACCCCAAGCTGGGCCCATGGGCAGAGAGCAAACAGCAGCTCAGGATAAGGAAAAGCCTCGCCTTCACCTGCAGAGGGGTTTGGACACAGCTCTGCTGTAGCTTGTCTCTCCCCACCCCCGGGGCACTACGGTAACCACCTGGCTGGTGCTGACTGCCCTGGCCAGTTCTGAAACCAACTTGCCAGAAAAAAAAATTAATCTGCCTGTTTGGGGTGGGCTTGTTTTTAAGTGTGGGTCAAAGTAGTAACTCTCCCGCAGTCCTGCCATGCTGCAGTATTTTTTGTCCTGTTAAAGATGGTAGAGTTCTTACTTCTGCAGTTTAAGAAAGGAACTGATGGTATCAATCTATACATGTTCTCTCTAGATACTGTAAGCGGCCTTTGGGGGGGTGGTGCAGATTTGCCTAGAGTTTGGGGTGCAGCAGGCTTCCTTTGGGGACTGCTGATCTGTGTTTCAAAGGTGGTAACCTAAACAGGAGTTAGAGTCTGCAGCTACAAGCTGGTAGGAGGCCATGATAGAGGCCAGGAGGAAGGAGCCACATGGCTCACCCCTCCTCCTGCCACACCCTCATCCACTTCCAGCCCATGTTCAAGAAGGCACTGACCCAGCTGCTGCCTTGTGAGGGCCAGGGCCAGCCCCAGCTGGGAGGGCCTGCAGCCCCAGGGCAGGTGAGCCATAAGGAAGCCCACCCTCGCAGATGCAGCCCTCATGCCTTAGGGGCCAGCTCCTTGGAGGCTGGACAGTCTCTGCACCCCACTCAGAGCTGGAGATCTTCCTGCTCAAAGCTGGGCTGCCTAGGATTAGCCCCAAGCAGGCCAGCTCTTTGGGACTCTTGGCAGGGTGGGCTGCACCTGCCTTTCCAATTTGCAGTTCCCAGAACTGAGCTCCCATGGGGCAGAAAGAGTCAAATCAGCATCTTATGAAACTTTACAAGGCAGAGTCTCCTCCTCCCCCTGTCCCCCAATCTTCCCAATTTTCAGGGACTCCACCAGCTGCAGAGAGATGCTCATTACGGAGGGGAATAAAAATGCCAGCTCTGCCCGCCCCTGGAGACGCGCCAGCGCTAAGCAGGTCAATTCACACAAACAGCAGCTGCTGTTTCGTGGGGTGGTTTGACTTTATGGAAGCCCTCGATTCAGCCGTGAGCAGATTCCAGTGAAATATTCCCACCCCAGCGCACAGGCTGTTAACACAGCTCTTCATCTGCTGCCCCACAAGCCCAGGCCTGCAGCACAGCCAGTTCAGCAAGCGTCTGTCGTGCTCAACTGGGAGCTGGACCCTCATTACACAGGGCCCCAAACAAAGCCAGAGCCCACGACCCCTCCCCCTCGGTCACTGATGAGAGATGGGCCAGTGTATGTTCCTAGCCATCAAGCAGCCTGGGAGCAGGGTGGGCTCTCCGGTCCCAAGAACCCATCTGAGCTTGCTGCTGTCACACAAGAGATGTCAATAAGGGCTCCGAGTGATCCCATTCGTCCCGGTTACCTGCAGTACCCTCGCCCCACCCTGCACAGAGCCTGCAAGCACCCCCAGGCTAGTCCCAGTCCAATTCCACAGACGCTGTCTACACAGCCTCCAACCACCTCAACTGTACCCCTGGTGTGGCTGTGAGGGTCACACCGACCAAATGTACAGCTGGAGCCCAGCCAGTTTATAGCTTGGCCAGCAGGGGAGGCACCCCTCCACCACATCCACACTGGAGGCCTCTGCTGATTTAGCTACTGTAGAGCCCCACCCTACCTAGAACCAAACTCTGCTAGACCCCTGACTCTCAGCCTTGCCGGAGCATGGTGCCCCTTTCAGGAGACTGGTCTTTGGTACACCGAGTTTCACCTCACAAACTACTTGTCTAGTTGAGTGCGCAAAGATACAAGCATCTCAGCACTGACCAGTTATAACAACTATAAAAATCAATCAACTGGAACGTCAATGTTGTACTGACATCTCCCTGCCTAGTCTATAAAGTCACGTTGCCCAAATAACCACATGTGGCTAGTGTGTTGTACATAATTTGAGACCACTAGCCACACTCAGCTACATTAGTCGGGAAAATGGACAATAGTTCACTATAGTGGTGACTGCTTCAGAAGTAGCTGGACACCACAGCTATAAAGCAAACAGTGGTCCCGTAGCACCTTAGAGACAAACATACACGTACATATAATCATGGGCTTTCTGGGTAAAACCCACTTTTTCACACTAACACGGCTACCCCTCCGAGTTTATAAAGCAGTACGCTGTGGTTTGCAATGATTTGGCAAGTGCTTTTTCGGTCACCCGTTTTAACACAGCTATCTGGAGGAGATGACTACTCCCCACATGCCCTAGCTGTTAGACACACCAGCCTTCCTTGCTTCCCCGTGGGGGCGGTCCCAGTCTCTGAAGATGGGACTTTCACATCCCAGCCTGGGAAAAGCACCCTGGAGGTTACAAATCCAGGGCAGTCCCTTCGCACCACGCTATCAAGTGAGTGCAGCCGCACCCTGTCCAGCCACAGCTAGAGGGAAAGGGTTTAGGAGCTAGAGAGCTGCCAGGCCTCCCTTTGCGCTCAGTGGAAACAGCCTTAGCCTGCCTCAGGGGCCAGGTGTGGCAGTGCCAAGTGGCCTGTTCCACAAGGGAGGCCAAAGGCGTCTCAGTCCTACCGCTCTCAGCGCTTTTAGAGGCAAAGCCCTGGAACTCCACCAGCATCTGGGGAGTTGGGTCAGACCCAGAAGCGGCTACTTTTTCCTTTTTTAGAGAGAAACGCGGGCCCTGGCGGGGAGACGGCTTGGACGGAGTCGTCAGGCCCGCGCTGGCCTTTGTAACCACCCTGCTGCCTGCCAAGCTGGGGAGCTCAAGGCAGGGGGAGGAGCGCGGGGCTGGAGCCAGCAGCAGCGTTTGCCCAAGTTGCCTGATTTATAAGGAGTTGTTGTAGCAACAGGCGGCGGGCTCCAGCCCTGGTCTCCGTCACGGCTCGCGGAGGGGTTATGATCGCCCATGAGACAGCAGTTCC